TAGGGTTTAGGTTCTGTTGTTGATCAGCCGGCCCTCCGCAGCCACAGAGAACTCCTTCCTTTTTATTACCCTTCGGACTCTTGTGTCTGGATCTCTATCAACAGAGCACTTGTTTTTAACTCGTGTGTAGCTTTTCTGCTTTGACAGTAAGTTGTGAATGGTCCACAGACTGTCATTAGATCCATTCTCTGTGATCTTGTAGTTCCTTTAGTTAAAGTCAGCGATCCATTTGTTTACATCCAGCGCAGAAATCCTAAAAGTCTTGATGACCAAATAGGCAACAGAAAGAACAGGAATGCAACATAACTCAGCTAACTGCAAAATATTAAATTTTATGATAAAATTCAGAGGGGCATGCCCCCCGAAACCCCCCTCCCCACCCCTGAACCCCCCTCCATGTTTTTATTATGTCAGGGGAGCACCCCTGACACCCCCCTACTCTTGACTCGTGAGGCCAAAAACCGGCGAATAATAATTGGGGGTTGGGAACTGCCGAAAAAGCGCCATTCTTTGATTGAATTTTGCTTAAATTGTTAATTGTGGCTTTAATAGGGTTTTCTTCCAGTCTCACGCTTGTTTAGTTCCACTCCTCAGCGATTAAGCTAAACCTCTAGCAATTCAGGGTCTCTGGCGTGTTCAGTTTTGGACTTTATCGAACGAAACTACAAAATAACCCCATCTCTACATATTTAATTAGCCTACCGTCGTAATTACGCAGTGACTAAGACAAGTGAGCGTAGCTTGCAGGCTATGTTCACGGCACCCTGAATATAGTTTGCATAGTAATAAAGCTTTTCTCTTGGGCTGCACTGCACTCAATTTACTGTGAATTGTTGTTTTACATTTTGAGCCTTTTCAGCGCTATGTCTAACACTAGATTGTATCATCCGTTTCTTTTATTTTTATTGTAAATTAGGTCTAGCCTACCCCACTTTGCCACTTGTCCAGTGACGATAAGACGAAAATTTAGATCTATATATCTAGGACTCGTAGACTTACTCTGTGATGGGATTACGAAGGGCCAAGTCGAGAATCTCAAGAATCTCACCCCGGGTGAGAATAACCCATGTCTCGCTATTCTCACCCCCCCCCCCTGGTGAGAATAGCTACCACCCCGGTGTCGGCATGAGGCGAGGACTCACCCCTGACCTCTCGCAGGCCGATAAAATCACCTAGTCCCTTGGTGGCTTACCGGCATGTGGTTGGGAACAAATAGTAATATATGATAAAAACATTTTTCGCCTCTCCAGTAAAAAAAAAAGGCTCACTGTACGAGACAGCGGGATGTGAGATTGGCTGACAGCCGGACCATTTGTTGTTTGCCCACTTAACAATGGCTGGCCTCTCTGCACTCAATATACTATGGTTCAAGGAACAGAGAGCATATACAAACATAATGAGACACAAGCACGGGACTATGCTCTAGCATGACGGTTAAAGGGTTGTAAATTATTCAGACCAAAAAGAGGAGAGCATTTAATCATGAAATGATTAAAACTAGCTTAATAATTTTAAACAATCCAAGCTGTTTTCTTCACTTTCATTTTTTTTCTTTTATTCTTTCTTTTTCTTTTTTTTTTCCTTGCCTTTTCTGTCCCCTTCTTCTTCAACATTTGGAGTTTGGAGCCAAAAAAGAGCGAGAGAGCCAAATGAAATTCTCCGGGCCTAACGCGATCGAAAAGAGCCAAATTTCTGGGATTTGGCTCCAATTTGACAACCCTGACTATAACTAGATCTAGATGTATGTCTATTCGGTCACCAACATGATCCTGTGGAGCATTAGTCCCGGTAACCTCAATCGCAGTTGTTGAGATTCCCAACTTCGCACTTCGTGACGCCATCGCTGAGTCAGTCTCTATGAGTCCTAGAATAGATATATCTAGATTTTCATTTTATCGCCATCGGACAAGTGGCAACGTGGGGGTAATTAACAATGAAAATAAAAGAAACAGATGATAGTGTTAGCGCTGAATAGGTAAAGCAACAATTCACAGTAAGTTGACTGTAGGTGCAGCCCCAGAGAAAAGCTTTTTATAAAAGGCAACACAAACTACATTCAGGGCGCCGTGAACATAGTCACTGCGATTTAATTATATTATTATTATATTATATTATCATGCTTGTGTGTAAGTGTAGTAAAAAGTTACAGTGTAGAAGAAATTTACCCCACCCTATGGTACTAATGGAATGATGTGTTTCTGTCAGTCACAGTGTCCTTCTATTCTGCATTTTCAGTTGAGAGACAGGTTCAGTCAATAATTCTAAGAGTGAGTGTGCGAAGAGCAAAGAGGCACAGATCGTTTTTTACATAAAGTTATGAAAAGAAGTAGGTTTATCCAGTAGAGCCTGGTAACTTCGCCAGACGAGGTAAAACGCCCCTTCCGCAATGTCATTCACACTTCTTCACAAAACGTGGAATACCTCTAGATCTTCCATTTTTTAAATGAAGATTCTGCACCTCTCAAGGGAATCGTTTCAAGACAAGCTACAATCCCACAAAGCAATCATTACATTTGAGACTCACAGCCTTAAAACAAACGCGTTAGTTTTTTTAAGCTGTAAATCAGGTGAACAGTTTATGCCTCAATGGTCGCTTTGTGCCCTCAATCTGGCTAGCCCCGCCTACTATTTGTGAAGCGAAGGGATCATGCCAATGGGCACTGGGTATAAGAAATGACTTTGTCGATTTGCCTATTTTTCCTGAGGAATTTTATTTAATGAGCCCCGCATTCTCGATTTTTTGCTTTTTTCTGATTGTAATGTAATCACTTATAATTTTCCTTCTAATATTTTCATATCTGCTTTGCTCTTGGATATTTAACTTTTGTCTTTATTTTTTATTTTTTATTTTTTTAAACTAAAATTGTTTCTTCTTCTAAAATGCCTTTCGGGTGATTTTGGCAAGGTTTCCGTGTGAATTCACCAGCCACTGATCAAATGTATTCTCACTTGAATTCTTTGTCTTCGGTTAGGCTAATACCAGAAGTCTTACATTTATTAACCTCATTTGTTTTTTGTTTGATGGTAAAAGTTTTTAATGGCTCACGCAACTGCATTTAAAGGTCACGATATGAGTTTGTGGGATACGTCAAATATTTTCAGTTTTGGTAGAGGAATCAATCTTGAATCTTGCCTGGGTGGTGGCGGAGGCCTACTTCTTATCGAATTTTGGACCTCCAAGGGATCTTTAACGTGCACAACTTGCAGATTATTTTGCCTTTATCCCCGAGAAGAGGTGTTGGTACATCTTACCTACCCTAAGATCAGCAGTGTGGTTAAAAGACAAAAGGAAGAAGAAGCCAGGAGTAAATGCCCAAAAATTGATGCGCGCCAGATTCCACCGTGTTGCAACTCAAATGGTATTTTTAGAACTGAGGTGGCAAATGAAATTGATGTGGGCGGCAGATTTCACCGTCAAGGTGATATATCTTCGTCTGCATGCAGAATACAAAATCGACAAAACCGCTAAAACATGGAGCTAAACCGTGCCAATCCTCTCAGAAACCCGATTTTTGATTGGTCAGGAGAGGCTTTCAAGCTTGTCCGTAAGTGTTTGATAGCACACGACACATCGGGACAGTGATAGTTAGACTCCGCATCCAAAGTGACGAAGTTACCCAGCTCTACTCTGTGATACTGACAGGATTTTATTATTCAGACCCAGTGCCACAGTGAGAGTGTCACCTCAATTTGGTACATACATATTTTTATGTTCTTGTGTTTGCTTCCATATCGAGAGAAAGTCCAATTATTTTGCTACTAACTGCATTCCATTTTTACAGAGAAGAGAAGAAAGGTTGTCTTAACGGCCGGTAAGACTTGAAAGCACGGGAGAGGTTCAGTCTGGAGTCTTTAATCATTGTTTCTGCTGTTGCCTGTTTCAGTAGAATTACCAAATGATCCACCCTATATTTGTGGAAGTATCAACGGTGTAGAAAAATAGAAATAAATATGGTAATGGATGGGGATATACGGTATTTTTTCAGATGCATAAAATGCAGGCACTCACTTTTTTATATCTCTATTATTTTGTTGAACCTTTTCCCCAACTGGCCCAACTTCCTCTCTTGGCCTTCTCACTGCTTTGCTGTGTCGTCTTCTTCTATTTAAAAAAATTGCAATTGGTAGCTTAGAAAGTAATCACTGTCAGAGCCACTTCAAACATTGTGGTAATATTAATTATATGAATGCATTAAAATATGAATGATGAGAAAATTTAGAAGTTACATAATGATGAGTTAGTGAGTTACTATGTAATGTTACCTCGGGTGAAATAGAGGGTTTTTTTGTTGTTTTTTTGGGGTTTTTTGTGTGTGTGTATTATAATGGCTCGGAACTCTTGGAAGTATCATACATTAAATAGGAGGAAGGATCCTTTTGAATTTCTCCCCCAGTTTCCTCTATTTGCTGATTTCTGTGCTATCGTGTTCTTTCGACTTTTCTTCTTCTCTTCTGTTCTTCTCAGAGCAACAGCCTCAGATCTGCAACTTTAAACTCCGTATTATTTCTGTAACTCATGTTTTCATTTTTGTATCAGACTATCGCTATGTTATAATATATATAGGCCGTGCCTTCTTTTATCCGTCAAAATATTTTTCAAACTAACTTCATAAATCTTATTATGTGTTAATTTTTATTTCTTTGTGGTTTTTTTGTGTAAAACCCACCCTTTGCTTGTCATTAAAATTTTACCGCAGTCAGGTCTGTATATTGAGAGACTCTATACATACGTCATAATGAAAGGGGAAATAATTGGAGCTTTTTCTTGTACTTCAAACTTCAGAGGGGCTCCCACTCAAAACAATCTGCAGAGTAGAAAATGTGCTTAATTAGGTCTTTTCTGTATTTTGAAGGGAGAAGAGTTTGTGTCATGGTGTCGCTTTCTCTGTAAAAAACAGTGCAGGACCAAACTTTATATTCTCAGTGAAGCTAAGAGGCGTGTATATTCATCACTTTTTTAAAAAATTAATTAATTTTCTTTTTCCTTTCTTTTCTTCCAGGAGAGGTGCAGAGGAAGAGGAAGTCAAAGTTGTGATTGCACAGGTAAATTTTAAAATGCTAAGGTGGGTGGCTACATATTCAGGTTGCTAATGCTTCGAGACAGAGTAAGTCCAATTAAACTATCTCAGAAGACAATGGGTGCTCCTTTTATTTTTTCTCCAAAGGCTACTTGTTATATATACATATATGCTTTTTAAGACTTTGACCCTGTTGCCACTTTGTTAGTACTGTTACGTTCAATGAACTTATCGTGCCATGTATAGTATTGTGACATTCCCAGCATTTGCCTGTGTCTTGATGGTGTATTTCAGTTGTAGGTTTACAGTATATTCTTGTAAAACCTTCGAGGCTGAAACATTGATTGACCCCCCGGGGCAGTGCCACTGACTAGTGTCTTTAGGCCATTCCCAAAGGGGGAACATTTCTCATTCAAGCACCTTATGCCTTAAAACCCTCTACTATAAAAAAAATTTAATAAAGTCTGTGATGTTCAATGAACTTATCATGCAATGTATAGTATTGTTACATTCCCAGCATTTGCCTGTGTCTTGATGGTGTATTTCAGTTGTAGGTTTACAGTTTATTCTTGTAGAATCTAGGAGGCTGAAACATTGATTGGGTCAAGCTAACCCTTTGTGCCTTGACCTCCTGGGGCTACCATGCCTCTGTGCCTGAGCTCCTGAGCTATTCACACCTTCATACATATACGATGGTCAGAATCACATTCCCTATCCCACTCTGGGTAGTCTTCATCATAACCAGCATTTACTTATTTCAGAAAGATCCTCAAAATAATCAATAACGTGCTGTGTAGTATCCCAATGTTTTCCGCGCACGTTTTGTCCCAGGCAGGCCTGGCTGGGGATAGGGTCTGGCGTACCGGTGGCTAGGCATAGGGGCAGTTTTACCCGCCACCGGTGTGTGTACCGTTGGCAAGGGCTTAAAGGGTTCAAGTTATTTCATATGCTCTTTTTTTTTTCTTTTTTTTTTATTTCAGCATGGGCACAGGAAAGAAAAAGCAGCTGTGGACTCTGTGTTTTTTGGGTAGGTTGTAAGATAACATTGTCAATGCCATTTGTCTGTGGCAGGGTATAAGCCACGGACAGGCGATCTCCATCTTTTCCTGTCTCGGGCAAGCTTTCTCAACTGACCCCAGTTGTGACCCATCTTCTACGTATATCCCTCTCCAGGCAATGTTTCCATGCCCAATGTCTCCTGTGGTCTACCCTTGTTCTCTTCTTCCCTGGGGGTTCCATTGTAGTAGTATGACAGACCAGATATGATCATAAAATTATGTACAAGTACAAGCTGTTATGCTTGTG